GTCACCCAATTTTGTCTGCAAATACATCCCTAAAACGTCTTTCAACTCATCAAAACCTCATTCAGGTCTTCAGGAAGGCCAGTCAAAGTTGTCAGTGTGGTTATGGACACACTATGACTTACTATGTGAGCTATAAAAATGAACAAAACTTCACAGTGTAGCTGATCGTAGCTGCAGCTATTTTGTGATGAATTCTGCATCTGCCACAGAATCCGACTCCCCATGGTGTGCACGCACATTACGCAGGCAGATGGACGCTAGATTACATTTTATATTTCTGCTGTTAGAACATTTAAGATTAAACAGGTAGTTCTAAAAAGAAACAACAGAAATCATGAACGTAATCTATAGCATCCATATGCCCGCGTGACGTGCATGCACATGAAGAGGAGTCGGATTTTTGACACTACACCTCTTGTCCAAAATGGCTCCCTGTTGTGTTCAGCTACACTGTGAAGTTTTGTGCATTTTTGTAGTTTACAGTAAGTCATACTGTGCTCGAAACCACATCAAGAAGCCTACATGACTTCAATAAAGACCTACATGTGGTTTGAGCAGGTTGAGAGAAGTTTTGGGGATGCATTTTTAGAAAAGATTTGGGTGTCTATTGACTTCTTGGGCTTGTAAGCAACATTAGCCTTGGTATCTCAGTTTAAAACTAAAGAAGCAAAATTTGTACACAAAATATGTCTTGGCTGATTGACTGTATCTAGGCTAAGCGGAACATTTGATTCCATCCTTTTAAAAAGGCTCTTCATGCTCACACATCTCATTTAACATCAAAAATCAAAAAATGATTTTTTAGAAAAACCATCCATTGAAAGGTTCTTTGGCAAGCCAAAAGTGGCCCTTCTCTCTCATCTCTCTGATGAAACCTTTGAGAAAGCGAAAGCATTCAATACAGTAGAAGTGCTCTGTATATCCATATTGCGTTTCAGACGACAAAGTGTCTGAACTACTTACCTTAGAACTGAGGTAGGGTAAGCTTTGTTGAGAGCAGGCCTCTTTACAGAGCTAACTCTTTATGACAATGAGTTCTGATTGTCGTGTCTAATGTCAGCTCAGACAAATCTGGCATGAGCATTTTGACGGGGAGGATGCCTCATCTACTCACTGAGCCACTGAACAAAGCAGAGATGGTCTATGCTGTGCTCAGAGCTGTTTAAATCCTCACTAGCACCACTCCCCTTCACTTATAAAGCAGCCTTCTGTGACATTAACACAATCAACCACTCTATATGGAAATCTCCAAAAGGCTAGATGCTGTTTGTAAAAAATTCAGGGATATTAAAACTGAAAATCATGTTGAAAGAATGGCTATGGTGAATGATCAGACTGATGGAGCTACTCAGCTCAGCGTGATTGATCTGCTCTGACTTATGCAAACAATCTGTGCATCATCATTTACTTGGACAGTTGTAATGTTTCAGAATGCGTTCATTTCTTTAAATTAATCAAATGATATTGCAGTTGTGACTCACTGGTACATTAATCTGTCACTATCAGAGGGTGGTAGGGTAGCATAAACCCAAGTAAAAGTAAAAGTAGCTTTCCAGAAAACGAATTGCATAGAAGTGAAAAATTGCGTAGAAGTAAAAAAAAGTATGAGGCTAAAAACTAAACATTCTGCTAGCTCAGAGACCCCCTTACTACTTTTTTGCTTCATTTGGAAATATGTCACATGACAGCAGTGGATCAACAGGAACTAAAAGCTTTTAGGTTGTATTCTTCTCTTTACAATGCATTCCTTACAATGCAATGCATGAATGAAAAACCTCAAAACCTCAAAAGTTAGAGGCATGACCATGGCAGATCTTGTGCAACCTCTGGGCACAAGTGTATTTGGAGACCCCTCCCTTTTCAGGACCTGAAAAGTGAGATTAAACAATAGTTTGTGTGTGTTTTTGTCCACATTTCTTTTTTGTCTTGAAAGCAAAAAAAAATGAGCCTTATTGATGTGCAGTGCTCTACTGCATCTACATCTTAACGCTTTCTGCACAATTTTATGCTCTTTTCTTCTCTTTTTCTTTCAACAAGAACTGTCATAATGCAAAAACAGATGTAGTCCTACACACCGTCTAAAACATTCCATTTGAACAGCAACACCAATATCACAGTAATGATATACTATCTGCCTGTGAGCAGATTACATCTTCATTTATTAAAACCTCTTATTCTCCAGGGTATATTTTGGTTTGTCCATCTGAATTTACATGACCAAATCATAAGGCAAATTATTCAGTAACTGCATGAAATAAATGTACATTTTTATTTTATTTATTTATTTTTTTTGTAAAAGCTCCCCTCAAATTAACAGAACATGTGTTTTATGATCATACACATATTGCTATATGCTTACAATTTACTGCTGAAAGCCAAAAATCTTAGACGCTCTTTGTATTATTTTATAAAAATATTTTTTACAGAGCAGATCACTGAAGAGACGCCCCAAAGTGAATGTCCTAGAATCAGGATCACTCCCTAGAGGATCTAAACCCCACTTAAACCTCTTGTTTCCAGTTTGATATAAAGAGAAAACTAATCAGGGATCATATAATTGAATTTTTAACAGTAGCACATGCACCTTGATTGTATTGACTATTTATTAAAAAGCAATTTTTTTTTTCTCATGTCATTGCAGAAGAGAGTCATTGCAGAGAGATTGCAGTTCTACATTGCACACCTTTCTTTTATGCAGTCAGCAGTGCATTTATCTCAGGGGAGGTGTGCTGCCACCTACCAGCAACCACACATAAAATATCATTTTATTAAGCTGCAAATTAGATTGTGCCAGCGTGTTTACCTGCCAAACCTTCTGAGAACCAATGAATCTCTTTCTAATCTAAAGCCATTAACCTTTGCAAACTGCTGCATAGCTGATGCAGCGTACTGCAAAATACCTGAGATAGATTTTCCTCCCCTAACTTTTTTTTCCTCAGAGGATCTAAATGTTGTTAAAGAATGTATCAGAAAAGGAACTTTAAGTGTTTTCAGTGTGGGAGGTCTTAATCATCATGTGTAGATTCTTTAGACTTTATTGGAAAACTACAATAAAGTGTATTTCTTTAATGTAAACTATTTTTTAGAACTGTATAGTATCCCCAACAAATAAAATGTTAAGTTCAACGTGATCAGCTATACAAGAAATCAGTGTGTCATGCACTTTCATATAATCTATTTTTTCATTTGACTTTACAGATTAGAGTTAAAAACATATGTAAGCAATATTCTCCAGTCTTATAGATGAGTATGTTTTTATATATGAATAATTATGCAAAAGCAGACCACGACAACACTGAACTGTTCTGCTGAGTGAAGCACTGTCAGGGAAATTTCAGATGTCATTTGCCAGAAAAATCCCTAAAGTATGAATCCAGAACTCCACCTTGTGGCTGTTTAGGTCACTTAAACCATGAGACCAGGGCCGGACACTACAAGCCCACTGAAAATCACAGTGCTTCAAATTATATGATTAAAACATGCGCATTAGTTTCACATGAATAAAACCATTTGTATTAACAAATGATTGCCAGAAGTCAATAAACTGACAATAAAGGTGTTTATGCAAAATATTTGTTCACATGAAACCAATTTACACATTTGAGTGAACTGAAAACACCTATTTTTTATGTCTTCCAAGGACTCCAGTGGTAGCCATTCAAGCATATAGTGTCTTAAATATCCAAACAGCGGCCTTTACTTTAATTATAGTATGTTACAGCCTTTGTATTTTTGTCCCATCAATCGTATCACCAGCTCAAAGCCTTTAGTTGACTTGTAGTCAAACAAGCACACAAGGAGGTGCTACATCTTTAGAATTGTAACTGGTACATGTCCTGGCTACTAACATCGTAGTATGCACTCTGGTGATGAGCTTATCTGCATGTATTTCCTCTGCAAACACTTAAAAATAAATGTGCTGAAGAGGGGTCCTTGGAGTGACGCAAAACCCTCTTGTAACAATAGCAGAATCCATTTTTTGGTGTTATATAGAACCATTTATAACAACAGATTTTTAATCACAGCGAAGAACCATTTAACCATGCAAAGAACAACTTTTGTATTCAAAGGGTTCTTTGAGTTGTCATTGTTCTATTTGTAACTATTGCCTTTACTAAAGAAACTTTGAAGAGCCACTTTTTAAGGTATAGAAGTTTTGGTTCCCAAAGGAACCTTTCAATGGAGGGATTGTTAAAAATGTAATGGGATATGCAAGTGTAAAAAACCTTTCTAAAGTTTAAAGAACCTCCTCATAATATTACGGTTCTATAGCATTTGAAGGTCAAGCCAAGAACCTTTTATTTTTTAAGAGTGTCAGTGTCAATTTGACTTTTAGCATCTGCAGCTAAAACTAGATTACATTTAAACTCATCACTTTTTGGACTCTGCATAAAATCACCACCTCCTGGAAAGATCTTGTCAAAGTGATACTTGAGATATGTTAATTTGGAGCTTTATTTGGAATTCAGTGTTGAGAGCAGTTCAGTTCAATTAATACGAGGTTCTAAAATGATGGCAGTTCTTCTATTGGACATCATTTCATTGCATTCAATCATTCATAAACAGTATTCATGATTGCAAGACAATTCTAAGATTTAATTATCGTAGGTGATCAAATAGTTGTAATACAATATAATGGTAATAATATACTTTTTTATATTTTATTCAAAGGAGTCGAGGGAGTTAAAAACATATTGATACCTGCTGCTAACTCGTTCAATGGGCTGATCTGCATGGGGTACTGCATAAAATTTTTAAGTATTCACCAGAATGTACATCTTCAGGAAATGCAAAAATGTCTGTCAAAGAATTATCTGTCAAGCCTGTGCTCTGACCATGCTAAACTTTGGAGCTAATTATAAAATTCTTATTTTAACTATATTATAATTCTTGGTATTGATAAAAACTAGAGATTACAAGCTATTTTCCAGGAATGCTCTTTAACACCTGACTCTTTATACAAGAGTTACAGAGATTAAACAAAATGACAACAGCTCTTATTACAAGACAAATTGCGTGGGTGTTTATTTGAAAAAAAATACACAAAACATGTAAAAAATATAAAAGATATAGATACTTTTTACATCAGAGACTTTTAAATGAAATTTGAAATGTGTAAAACATTATATAAAAATACAGAAATGTAAAACAGTGTTAAACAGCATATAAGCAAGCCCTGTGAAGCTTACTTAAAGGCCCATTCAAAACGAAGCACTTTTCTGTGAATATCACATGTACATTCAGTGAGTATAAAAAATTCACAGTGCGATTCCAGTACATAACTTAAAAATAGTATAGCTGAAAAATATATTTTGAGATTCTGTTGCTATCAGCATATGTTAATTTACATACTGTCATTAGAACACATCTGGTACAATGTATTCACATTACATTGTGGGTAGAAGCTGTTTAAGTATGTGTCCTTTGTCCAGTGCTAAATGCAAACCTTTTTCTGAAAAAGCCTGCTGCATTTGCGATAGGGTGTTATATTCTCCTTAGGATCATTCTTTGACGTGTCTTATTCCTTTGTTTCCATGGATTGCTCTCTGAAAACAGCAAATGAAAACAATTTGCTCATTAATGCTGCCATGATTCACAAACAGCAATTAAGAAATAACATTTTTCCCATAATCAATACCAAACACAGCTCCATACTCACTTCTACCACAAACATCCATACAGCTTTTTTTGGAGACAAAATTGTTACTGCTTCCCCCACATCCTGTGTATATGAACTCTTCACACATTTTTGTGGCAGGGTTGAAATAATATCTTGGTATGGAGGCAGAGCACCCTCCTTTATTCAGGACATCCAAACAAATCACAGGGATAGCTGCAAAACAAAACCATAATAGTTCAATAAAATTCATAAACACACTGTATACACTCTTAAAAGCTGAGCTATTTTTAATGCTTTTAAGCAGTGATATTTGTAAATCATCAAAACTGTATACATGTATAGTTTACAACACTTTTCATAGCAACACATGAAATATCTAAAACATGTTTATTTGGTCATATAAAAGAACCCCCACTGACTCAGTAGACGAAATCCAAGACTAGTTTTAGTCTGTGTTTGGAACCAGCCCTTAATGTCTTTACGGGCAGTACAGGCACAAGGCCTTTCATGTTCTCAGTTCTATTTTTCTACTCATTTTATTCTTGCCATCAATTTTTCTCCATTAAGCCATTAAGTCTCAGAGCCCCACTGAAATGGTCAGGAAACTTTCAATGAAATTGATCAATTTTCTAGGGAAAAAAGGCCAATTTATATCTTGTCTTTAAATAAACCTAATTATTCCTCTTATGGATAGTTTTTCTCACAAGTGAAACAGCTAAAGCTGTGCATTCACTATGTTCTTTCGTCTTTTCTAAATCAGATGATTTTTTTTTCCAGATTTTTTTGTCAGACATGATGGCATGATGCCCCGAAAAACACTTCAGTACTAATTGGCCATCAGACCCCTACAGGGTAGTATCTCTGCCTAGTCAGTTGTTTTCCGGTGACCTACATACATTTTGGAGGTTTGCAGTATTCCATGCATGACTGGCGGTCTTGGAAGTTGTTCTCATTTCCCATGCAGCCTCCATAGTAGAAAGGCTCACACTGCATGGAGGTCATGTTAAAAAAGTAACGTATGATCAGGGCACGGCATGACCCCTCATCCTTCTGAAAACGACAGATCTGGGGGATTTCTGGAAAGGAAAAAATATTTTCAAATGAGCATATAACTACGCCATGTTATCAGTCTATAAATCAGTGCATAAATCTGTCTGCAATATGTTGCCGGCCTATCTTTGTATTAGACATAGCACATTTTACATTCATTGCAATAAAGAAGTAACACATTCTCAATATTACTGATATTACAAAAAAAACTACTCTTAAGTAGTAAAAAAACTTGAATACAATATTTCAATAGGAATATTAGGATGACCCACCTGAGATTAACGTCACATTTACAGTCCATAGAAAAAGACAAGATTCTAAAAATCTGTGGACACTTCTCAGTGGGCATCATAATACGCTGAGACTTTAAAATTGACTTTAAAACTATCAAGTGTACAAGAGGTCACTGTTCTTGAACGAAGCTCTACTGACAACAAATATGCAGTGCTGAATTCTCTGCAGTGTTAAAGGTGGCTATCCCATCCCACATACAGCAGTAATATGATATATAATTGCACAGGGAATCCAAAGAATGTTGTATTTAATCTGAACCTATAGGAAGGTTCCTAGAATAATCTTTCCTTCTCTCATAAAAACCAAGGCTAAATGTGATTCTGATTTCTTTGGTTGGGTCAACAGTGTCTCAATTATATGACATTACGTCATTATTCCAGATACCAGGATATGTATAGGTGTTAATATCAGCAGAAATTTGAAAAATGCTCTGTTCTAGAGAAATTTAACAAGTCAGAATTGTTCACAGCGGTGGTAATAAATAGGAAGCATGCGTCTGAAAAGTTTAATGCCTCTAAAAGCTGAAAAGCTTTTAAATTATGAATACGTTGCCTGATGCCCAAGACATTGTCCTATGATAGTTTTGAGATAACCTTTAGGGCTACAGTGTACTTTTTAAAATCTGTCAATGGTGGATAGATATGTACGGTGTTAAAAGGCAATAAACGTTTTGTTCCTAGATTTATCACTATTGTACCAATATCAACATTACAAATAAACACTTAGGAGACACGTGCAGGTTCACTGGTGGTTTTGGACAGTAAATAAAATATGTGAGTTGTAGACAAGGCGACCCCTGATTCCTGTCACCACCAGTCGATAAGTTTCTCTACAATGAACCATTTCACATCAAGCCACTCTAAATAACTTCGCACACATCTCAACCACTAAAATATGCAGGCATTTTGAAAAACTGGTGGAATTCCCCTTTAAGAGCCATAGCATTAACAGTTTGTGCCTTGTAGATCACGTTTTTTATCTAGAGTGCTTACAGGAATGAAACTGGAGTAAAACGGCTACCAAGTTCAGTTTCCAAACTTTAAGCCAAGGATCTCTATACCAGCCAGCTCTTTGGTACTGGTACTTTCTTTTAAGCCTACCATTCTACAAATATCCCATGTTCTCAGCTGAACTGAGGCTAATTTAACAAACACAAGAATCTGAATACAACAGCATATCTGTGTGTTGTCCTGCATATTTCACAGGTATAAATATTAGACAAAATGGAGGGTGGATAACTGGCCTGCAGTTAAGATTAACATCTCCACCTCTGTGCACAGGAACCGCATGGTAAACAAAGTATCGACAGCACGTTTAACAAGCCATAGGAATGATATGGCGAAAACTACAGTGTTAGACGTACTTGGTATTTTGAAACACGTTTTCTGACATTCCTGAAACGAGACGAAGTTGTTGTCGTTGCCAGCACAGCCACCATAGCTGAATTCCTCACACCGCTGGGTGATTGTATTGTAGTGGAAACGCTGGATGTCTCCTCGACACGGTCCTTCATCCACTTGCAGAAGGCACACATCTGTAAAACCGTTACAGTACAAAATCAGATAAGAAATCACAGTGGTAACAAAGCGCAGCGTAAGAAAACGTGTATTTTAAGCCAGACTACGCTTCTTTTCGAAAGAGAAGACCGTTATAAAATTACTTAGTACGCAGATCTGCCTTCATCAAGCGTGAAAACCTAAAAAAGAGAAACATTCAGCAAAGTTACCTGTGGGTTTCAGAGCCAGTGTGCTCTGGAGTAAGCTTATGAGCACAAGGCTTCCAAGAAGATGGCACTCCATTACTGTAAAGTAGGTGCTCGGTCCAAGTTTGGGGTGTCTCGTGTTGTAGCACCTAGCCTAACTGTCTGGGTTTGGCTCAGTGGCGGTTTTATAGGGTTCTTGGGGAAGTTGAACGGTGGGTAGTGAAAGGGCGGGCTGCTTTCACTTGACTCACTGGAGTAACGTTACCGCATAGCAGTGTAACGTATTCGCAGAGTGACAGTTTCATTAAGACATGTTTTGTGATGTAAATGGAAAAGTTCCAAGATTATCTTTAGCACGTCCCTGTAGTTGCTCAACCACCAAAGCATTTCCACAAGCACTTTCTGACTGAGAAGTGAGGAATTCCTATTTTATTTCCTTCGTCTACTCGTTCATGTCATCTTAGATTACACCACCTTCATCCTTCCCTATTACATCTAACACAACAAAATATTACTCTGTCTCCAAGGAAATGGCATTGGTCACGATGCGTTCATTAACTGCCACTGACCCCACTCCGAGCCCCCGTCACACCCTGACTGTGGTTCATGTCCGTTACTTAGTGTAATTCAAATTCAACCCTCAGTGGGGATCAGTTTCCAGTGCACCATAGACAATGTGTCGGATTCCCGCTCAGGTATTAAGCCTATATGACTAATCAGTGGAGGGATATTATGCATTCCAGGGGGAGGTTTAAAGGACAACTCCACCGGTTTTTCAAAAATTCTGCTTAATTCAATCATTACGATGTAAACAAAGTCATTCGGAGTGGTTTGGTGTGAGATGCTCCGTTCTAGAGAAACTTGCAGGGTCCGAATTATTCACAGTGGTGGGTGAAAAGAACCAGGCGTTTGAAACTCCCTCACAGAAAGTTATTGGATTAAATGGCTATGAATATGCTGTCTGATTTCTGAGACATGTTCCACAACATTTTTGAGATAATGTTTTGGTCCAAAATATATATATTTTAAAAGTCATTCATGGTGGAGGGGTACATGCAGAGCGCCATAAGGCAAAATAGTCCCCTAAAGAAAACATATATTTGCAGATTTACTACTATTTTATCATCAACAACATTACCTATAAAAACTCAGGAGACATACTATGTTATTGTGTTTATATGTATGCTTTTGGCCTTTATCTTTATCTATCTATCTATCTATCTATCTATCTATCTATCTATTCAGCCGCAAGAGCATTAATGAGGTCATGTACTGATGTTGGATGATAAGTTCTGGATCACAAATGCCACTTCAGCTCATCCCAAAGGTATTAGGAGGAGCTCCATCACTTTAGAGAATGCAGTTGACTCCTCCACAACCCAGTGCTGGGAGGCTTAGGCTCATGAGTGGCTGCTCTAGAGTGTCCATTCTATTGACAGTGCTCTTCTGTGGAGATTATACAGGCTGTCAATGCACAATTGAATATATGTCTCAACAAAGTAGCTGAATTAACCAATTTGAAGCGAGTTTCCGTACTTGTGGACATGTGGAATAACTGGTGCAAGCACTGTTCTCCCAGCAGGGAGATATGCCAACATAAGCAAGTATTGCAAATATAAAAATGTGGGCAGAAAGCGATTAATGCATCAACCTGTTCTGACATGCTTGATAAGCATTTGTTGATTTAAAGCGAGAAGATTTTTTTCTTTGCATAGTTTCATGTTGATAAGCTGTAAAAGAATATATTGACTCAGTAGGCTACACACTAGGTTATGATGCAATCACAATGACGTGGTTTTCAGCTTTATCTCAACCAATGTAACAGAATCTGAGCCAGAAACAGTTGTTTCCAAGTGCCCACGCTAGTTTAAAAACAACGGTCATTTAGTGATGTGATTTTTTCCACATCACAAACCCATTCTTCAAAATCTCTACTCTGTAACCACGTACCACACACCTTCTATTCTTTTATGTGGCCCCAAGAAACACACACTGTTTTTCTACAGAATATATGTGCTGAACAGCCACAGACTCTTAAAAAAACTTTCTCTGATTACGTGATTCCTCACCATGTTAGGAAGACAGCTCATAGAATGATGTCCGCGGTCACTGTCTGAGGGCACGTCTCCCGCGTACAATTCCTGAGGGAACACATCTGTCATATTAGGAGTGATGATGCCTTATTCAGCGTAATAGGTTGGGGGTAAACACAGATTAGTTTGCTTTACATAGAAGCCTGTAATGCTCTGTCCCCTTGACCTACATTGCTACCATGATATTATCATGGCAAGGCAACCAACATAACAGCCCACAAACTAAAATCTACGAGCATTTTCGGTATTTTTTTTGTGATGACCAAAATCAGTGACATCGTCCGTGCCTCACGTTTTTAAAGAAAGAATTCTCAACATGAAACATGGCTATTGCAGAATAAGAGTGTTTGTTTTAATAAGATTAAGAGATTACAATGTTTATACAGATTACTTTATAACCCGGATTGAGAGAGAGGTGCAGGATTCTCTGGCCACTTTCAGGGCAGAAGGGAGCTCACCGTAAGTGGCAGTAAGTGTGGTCATCATCACCAATTTTATGCAGAATGTAAAACTGTTTCAGATTTGTTTTGAAAGTAATAGATAGTGTTTGGTGTTGTTCACAAATTTGTTGCTGATTTGTTATCTCTCAGACAATGCCGGTCATAGATGTAGAGAATCTGACGGACTTGGATAAGGCAAAAATGGAAGTAACCCAGCTGAAAACTGAGGTGAAACTAGAGAGAGCAAAGGTAAGTATTGGAACTTTATCCATTCATGAATATCTGTCAGTAAAATAAGTATTAATAATAAAATTACAGTAAAAATGATACAGGGTGATCAGCCCTGGCTGGGCTTCATAGTTTGTAGCAGTTAAAGTGCATTCTGTCCATGCATCTCTATTATGCGCTGTAGAAAACTGTGTAAATTGTCGCTGTGGAAAAACATCATGTATCTTTATTTTTGTTGTTTTAAAAACAATTTTTCACCATTCGATAATGGCAACTGGTCTACATTGTTTAAATTTCTTGATGGATGATCCAGTTAAAATAGTCCAAAATGTCCCAAATTGGCCCAATTATATATCCTACAGAAGTACTCAGCTGTTTTTACACTTTTTTGGTAGGTGTCTACATGCTGTGAGGAGATCACGGAATACATTCAGAGTGGTACAGATGAAGATCCCCTCGTCAAAGGCATCCCGGAGGAGAAGAATCCATTCAAGGAAAAGGGTGGATGTGTCATTTGCTAATGTGGACAGAGGAACTCCCCTACCTTTTACTGTTTAGACCTTTGGTATGCTACATGGATGCCTGCTACTGTTTAAGCCTCTCTGCTGCCTGAGACAGGGAAAACACAGTGAAGGATAGATATTCAAATTATTCTAAATGGCTAATGTCACTTTGTAAATAAGCCCCCTGGATCTGGACCCTCTCACTTGTTATGCATTCCTCTATGAAATGGTGTAATAAATCCAGATTTGTTTGTGCAGTGATTGTCAAAGCCTTGTTTGATGTCAGAACCTTGTCTGATGGAGCATAAGTGTATAAATCATCCTATAGGTGGTCAGTCAAAATGTATCCTCTGTTTCATTGCTGGACAAAATATTAAGGTGGCACTGTTTAGGGCCGCTGTATATCGGTATGATCTGCACAAAGCTGAGCAGGCAAAGCCCATCTACTGATGTGGAAATGTACCTCCAATGTCATCTTAAAGGGGAATTCCACTGATATTTAAAAAAAAATGTGAAATCCTTAAGATGTAAACATTCAGAGTGGTCTGATGTGAAATGCTCAATTCAAGAGAAGCTTGCCACGTCAGAATTGTTCACAGTGGTAGTGATACAAACCAGACATCTGAAGAGTTTAGTACTTCACAGAAAGTTATGCCATGAAAAGGTTACAAATGTTTGTATGAGACATTACGTCAGTCTTTGAGGTTTTGGCCTAAAATATATTTTCAAAATCAATTCATTGCGTAGATGCACAGCAGGAGTGGGGGGTGGGGTCCATAAAGAGTTAGTCCTCAAAAAAAAAATGTTAAAATTTTTTTAGACCTACCACTGTTTTACCATTGATCAACGTTACATACAAAAATGTAGAAGATGTGTAGGTTCACTGGTTGTTCTGGATAGTAAATAAAATAGCTGTATTTGCATTGTAGACATTGCGATCCCTGGTTCCTATAACTAACATTAAGAAATTTGAGACAGTGTTTCCTTACAATTAACTATTTCTCATCAAACTGCTCTGAATGACTTTGTTTACAATATTTTGAAAATTTAAAGGATATTTGTGGAATATTTCAGGTTCCCTTTCCAAAGCACTGCTATACAGGTCTTGTTTCTGTCCAATTTCAGGATTCTTAAGCTTAATTTCTTAATTTTCTCAATTTTTTAACTATGCAAAACGACTCTATTGTGAGGTTGCAGTTAACTGGAATTAACCACTCATTTTCACAATGCATTATCCGTAAACAGATTCCAGAATGAGATCCAATTAAACTGAGATTTCTAGTTATCTTTAGTCTACACTTTTTCTTCTTTAGATTGTACCTTATAATCATCCACTCACAAGAATAACCAGTGAATAATCAGTGAACTTGGAATATTGTGGGAAAATATATATGCATCCCGTGGGCCAAGCAATGTAAACGACAGAAGGAAGGTTACCTTTAACCCCACTGTACTGTTCCTCGGATTTGTAACTGACGCTTGCACGCATGCGCGCTGCGGAGCAGCAGTACATTAGAGTGATCATGGCTCTGTGTGGAAGAGCCCTGCAGAAGCGTTTGGCTTTCAGTCGTAATATTCTCAAACCAACTGCGGTTTGCCACAAACGACAAATATCGGAAAGCTCATCTCCTAAATCTAAGGCCTCCGTCCAGACAGTTGACCATGTTCTCTACACGCAAGAGCACTTTGCCCTGAAGGACTCACTGAGAAAGGTAAAGCTGTAGCTAGCGCAAGCTAAGTTAGCATACCGCATGACAGCTTGAGCTTTTCTTCGCTGTCGTGTGTAAAACTTTCAAGCCCAGTAAAAGTGTGGACACTGAGCTATAAGAACCTCTCAAAGGTCAGTTTGCAGTGTAGGTGAGAGGTCATAACACAGCACACTTGCATACATACAGCTCAGTCTAGCAGCAGGCAGGCTACGTCCACATACCTGGCCTTATATTTAGGTTAAAATGAAATATCTGGATTTATATTCCGTAACAGGATATGTTTAGCGTATGCAGAGACGTTCAAATGTGTGTGCTCCAACTTCCTTCTTGCATTAGAAAGGCATAAAGAACGCTATGAATGTGGTCACGTGACTCCGAACATACACCGAACGGCTGCGACTGATTGGCGCAGAGGCTCATTTAAAAGCACATCTAATGTTTGTGGCTCTTTGCGGAGTTTTAATGCGTCTGACTGACCCAAAGGTCACGCAGATTTTCGTAATTGTGCACAGGTTGAAGTCCTTTCTGCCGAGATCCCAGGCTGATGCTCCGGGGATCCACGGAGCTGTAAAACGCCCAGGAAGTACCTTGTGCAGGGAGGCTGCGTCCGAGTAGTTGAACAAACTCCGGCTGTGTCCAAAACTGCATAGTACTATTCAGGGGCGGATTTATGGATTGCGGGGGCCTAGGCAAAAGACAGGAATAGGCCCCCTGGATGTATGTGCGCTGCAAAAAATTATATCTTGACAGTCATCATCTTGAAGGAGCACTATGTAATATTTTTTGTTAAAACTAAAAGGAGTACGTTTACTGAGTATATGATGTGCATGCACAACTGCGAGTCACCCTGTAAAGACTGCTGTAATCATTTAAAAGTCAGAGGCTTATAGGGGCCCTAGGTGGCTGCTTCCCTCTGCCTAGTGCAAAGACGGCCCCCAACTATACTATACATGCAATACTAGTAAATGCATTTCTAACACACACACATACACATTTTCTAAGCTGCTTATCCTTCTGGGTCGCGGGTGGAGCTGGAGCCTATCCCAGCAGTCATTGGGTGGAGGTCAGGATACACCCTGGACAGGTTGCCAGTCTGTGGCAGGCATTTCTAACAGTGGTGTGCCATTTTTGACATAGTATTTAGTACTGTAGTATACAGTTTTGGACGCAGCCTTCTCTTGCTGTCTGCTTTTCTTGATTTTTCCTGATCTCGTAGCCGTATGGATCCGCATGCCAGCCAGCCCTGGCATTGAGGCCATGGGTTAGATCAGGCAAAATCAAGGCTAGCAGGTAGAAAAAGACATTTTGATTAACTAATCTGCATTTCACACCTGAGAGAAATAAGCTGTGAACTGTGAATGAGTGTTTGTTTATGTCAGATACTTCACTGTGCTACAAAACTAAACCTGTAAGAGCTTACAAGGGAGTAGCATTATTGTACCTTAATACCTATAAAACACTGCAAACCCGAAGTCTTAACCCTTTACTGCATAAATAATGAATTGTCACAATTTTTCTTTCAGAAAATGGCATAAATAATAGCAATATATGTTTAAAAAATGTACAAGGCTCTTTGCATTTTTGTTGCTGTATGTCAACATAACAGAATAGTGAAACTATACAGCTTACACTGCATACTAAGAGTGCCATTGGATAGCCGCATTCATCGTTTGGCATGGACGTGAAGGACAATGCGTTAACATATGCACATCCAGAGATCTCGTAAGGGCATTTGTTGGACTATTTGTTGGAAATTCACATTTACACGTTTGATACAGCTCTTTAACATTACAGATTTCAAAGTCAGATACCTGGGTTGGTATAAAGAGCAGGAAGTAGTTATAAAAGCTCAGAAGGCGTCATTTTTGGTCATACTTTTACGCGTGCCAGTGAAAATGTAGACCTTAAGTGGTGGAGGACTTCCTTTCGTCTTTAAAGGAAGAAAGAACTTTTCCATATAGATGGAATCAGTGTGCTGTTGGCTCAAAATAGTGTCTAACAGGAAATGGCTTTTACAAAAAAGAAGGATGTTGCCTTTTGTTTAATCCCCAGTGGTTTTGAGGGGGTCAGAGTAGGTAAGTAAGGATAAGTTTCAAAAGCAAAGCAAACAAAAACACAGAAACGGTGCTTAAGTGTTTTGAGTAATATGTTCATTCATAGGTTGATGTACAGGGAAATTGTGAAAACCAATATATAATCCATACACTGTTTTTTCAGAAGACAAATAATGATCCTCTGGCCAATCTCCAGGCCAGTCTCCTGTTTATGTAATGTGCTGAAAGTGGCGGATAACCCAGTGCTCTTGAACTCTCATAACATAATCAGAATGCACGCCTGAAACAGTGACCTTTTTTGAGACTTGGGCTCCCTTAAGGCTGTAGCGCTTTTCTCGTTGCATTTCTGTAGTCCCTCCCTTCCTCTTCATAGTGAGTGATATTTGGAAATTGCCTTTATATTGTTCCTTGTTCTGCCTTTTCTTGTTCTGAGTTAAGCTGGACTGCAGTTTCTACTCTCTGACAAGTTTTTAGTAAATTCCACACTAAACTCTTCAGTTTTAGATTGATGTGATGCTGGACTGGCAGAGGATTCTTTTCAGATCTGTTTGTTCTGTTTACTCTTGGTTTGAAACCATATGTTGGCATTGGCTAATGATGGAACATGTCAGTCCACTGCCTATTCCTCACATCTTTTTGATACAAAAAAGCTTTATAATTATTATTATTATTATTATCATCATCATTATTATTATTGTTGCAACCACAGACAGTATTACAGTAAATGTCAGGTATTAGGCTCGCTCTCGCATTCTATGTGGATTTGCACCAATATTAATAAATTTTGGGGTCAGATCTGTTTAAGATTTAAGCGTTTATCGCAAATGTCTGTGCCACTTGACCCTTAGTCTTAGTTCTAGGAGCATCATTTAATGGAATCTCTTCTGATCAAGATTTATTGATAAAGGGCCTCTTCACTGTGGCAAGAAAATGCATCATGGTTAACTGGACTTCCACCTACTGTAACGTACTATAACTGGTAGGTATGAAACAACACGTAATATCCTCCCTCCCTAGCTTATTTAGATTAAGAAGTTTTATTAAGCCTGGGGCGGGTTCTGGGATTACACCAGACCTGCCATCAGGAATGTGCTACGGTGTTGAAATCGATTAGATAATAATGACTTGGACTGTCTTATTGTACTTTTCTGTTACGCTTGATATTAATATTCTTAATTATTGATTACAGCTATTATTACTGATGTTTCTTATTTAAATTGTTGATTTTTTTTTTTTAATATGTAGCAGCTGTCCTTGTACTGCATTACACATTATATTGTCATACTCTGTACATTATTTGATTGCTAAATTTAAAAAAGACTGGAGGGGAAACAAGAAATAATCTATTAAGAAAAAGTCATTCCCACTGAGCATGTTCACCATTATAATTTGAAAATCAAAAAAACGTTATTTTATACGAAATCTACAAATGCACAAAGCACTAACAAACTGTCTGGTGAATTTCGGATGATCATTAATAGCATTAGGGTTAGGACTAGGGTTAGGACCAGAGTTAGGTTTACATTTGAAGGAATTGAAGAAAAAGTTCTGTTAAAATGTAATAGCTGTTTAAAGACAAAGTGAGCATCTACAGTGCTTCAAGAAGTGTTACCAAAAAAAATTAAAAATGTCCGTCATACGTGAGCTAAACTGATGGTCAGATTTATTATAATTGTATTACTGAGGAATAAGAAAGAAAGGGTCAGTCAGAGACGGTGTCTTAAAGATTGCATCTTTTTATTAGCCTGCCTCATAGATGGTGATGCCATGGTTACCTACAGCTTCACTGTGTGGCCTCACTTTTCACATTCAGCAGTTTTATCTCATTTTGACCACCCAAAAGGATTTTATTTCAGTGTTTATAAATAATGCTATGGTTTGATTCCTCTGTTTATGAAGCCTTTTGGCTATTATTGTGAATAACATTGCAACAGTAATCCTGGACAGGATTAAACAAAACTGTTTATCCTCCAGTTGTACAAGAGTGTAAGCTTAGATGTCAACAAAATTAAATACAAACATCAATACTGACCATTGTTGTCAGTTGCTCTATTTATAGTGAGAATCTTTCCAAAATCTGAACCAAAGTTGAACTACTTTTAACATGTAGGTGGTCAGTGTACTGTGCAAACCCCTCTTTCTGAAACCCCTTTTTCTGAGAATGCAGGACAGGTGGGGAACATGTTTACTACAATACATCAAAGGACAGGAAATTTTGTGAGGAAATTATAGTGCCAGGAAGTCGAGGTATAGAATAGTAACAGGATTGGGACAAGACAGGAAAATAATTGAACAGATCAGACAAGAGTGAATTCTCTGTGTGTCATGCTGTGAGGAAATCACTTTTTTTCAGCACTAGGGATGACTGTTCATCCTTTCACAGCCTTGAAAATTATGAAATCACATCTTTCACTCTTACACGCTTCAGTAGGATTGAGAAAATGCAAACACAGAGTAGTCCAGAAATCGTTGGAGAGCATTAGTTGAACCTATTATTTTTTGGGTACTCCAGCTCCGTAGAGTTTAAGAGTTTTATCTTTGGATTTCAGACAAGTCAATGGATTTGAAGTTAAAGTGCTGAATGTCAGCTATAATTTGATTATTTACATTGATTATTACTATAATGGGCGAACACTATAGAAATCACAGCCCATTGTGTAGCATTGTGTAATTGTTCACTAAGTGGCTACACTGTGAAATGGCCCTACCAGCTGTAACCTCTTACACTCTGCCTTTTGTTTGCAGGCTAAGGATTATTATTCGGTGATTACTTGAAAAACAGTGCAAACTGACTGAGTTATTCTTACGTTATAGGATGGAAGAATGCTACACTGTTAAAAATAAAAGTCAACTTAAAATTGTAAGCAAACAGATTACACAGCTTTTTCTGAGTTAATCCCACTTGAAAATGCTAGATGTCACCCAACTTAAATTTCTTTGTTCAGTCAAAAGTTGTCTTAATTTTTAGTTCTGCATCTCAGTGAGGTAAATAATATAGAATTTGTTTTTTTAACTCAGTTCCCCCATTTTCTCATTTTCTCCTCTTAGGCATTCACTTACGGGTGGCTGTGGCATTGATGGTGTTCAAACTCTGATATCATGTCCATAAATCTTTAATACACTCCATCAGTTTGAAGTTCAAAGCCCAGCAATGCCACATTTGTTCATATCTGGAAGCCTAAGAAGAGAAAATGTCTGATGGGATTGTGTGATAGAAATGGGGTCCCATCAAGTGGGGAAATTTAGTAAAAAAAACTCTGTATTGTTTACATAATTGAAAAGCAGAGCTAGAAAAGGGAATTGGGAAAAGTTTGAGTTGAATGATCTCTAGCATCCTCAAGTTGAGTTAACTCAAAAGCTGTGTAATCAGTTACCTGACGATTTGAAGTTGAGCTGACTTTTCATTTTTTTTTTACAGTGTACAGCTCCATAGAGTTTATGAGGTTCTTTTTAAAATAAGAAATAATGCTAAAGACTCACTAAGCTCACTTGACATAAGTTTACCTGAAACAATGGTAGGAAGTAGTTAATTGCCAACCTAAAGTTTGTCTTAGAGAGCAACATGACTGTGCAAGAGCCGTAATATTAATCGTGGATGACTTCGTAGTGACTCGTGTGTTTCCCACAGAACTATTTTTCATTTTACCAGACTGGGAGGGGTGTCAGACCTCAGTGACTCTATGCCTTTGTCTTTTTCTCAAGTGATTCTAGGGCTGTAGACAGAAATCCTTAAATGACGTGGATAGCGGCTGAAGAGTTCATCATCATCTGTAGAAAACTTTAAGGGATGTGATGCTGTTTTCACTTGAGCAAAATTAGCAACAGGACTGTGAGTTATTCAGCCTGATTTACTGTACAGTGAAATACTTCAGGAGGGTGACATGTAGGTTTTGGTTATGCTCCACTAACAGGAAAATACTTGAGTACTTGTACAACCCCATTTCCAAAAATTTGGGACACAGTGCAAAATGCAAATAAAACAAAATGCAATGATGTGCAAATCATTTAAACCCTTTATTTAGTTGAAAATAGTACAAAGACTACATATCAAATGTTGAAACTGAGAAATTTTATGGTTTTTTGGAAAATATATGGCCATTTTAAATTTGATGCCAACATGTTCCAAAAAAGTTGGGACAGGGGCAACAAAAGGCTGGTAAAGTTGTGCAGTGCTAAAAAAACACCTGGTGGTTGATTAGCAACAGGTCAGTAACATGATTGGATATAAAAAGGGCATCACAGAGAGGCTGAGTCTTTCAGAAGTAAAGATGGGGAGGGGTTCACCACTCTGTGAAAGACTGCACAAGGAAATAGTGCAACAATTCAAGAATAACATTTCTCAATGTACAGTAGCAAAGAACTTGGGGATTTCATCATCTACAATACATAATATGATTAAAAGATTCAGAGAATCTGGAGAAATCTCTGTATGCAAGGGACATTAAATTCTCTGTGTGTCATGCTGTGAGGAAATCACTTTTTTTCAGCACTAGGGATGACTGTTCATCCTTTCACAGCCTTGAAAATTATGAAATCACATCTTTCACTCTTACACGCTTCAGTAGGATTGAGAAAATGCAAACACAGAGTAGTCCAGAAATCGTTGGAGAGCATTAGTTGAACCTATTATTTTTTGGGTACTCCAGCTCCGTAGAGTTTAAGAGTTTTATCTTTGGATTTCAGACAAGTCAATGGATTTGAAGTTAAAGTGCTGAATGTCAGCTATAATTTGATTATTTACATTGATTATTACTATAATGGGCGAACACTATAGAAATCACAGCCCATTGTGTAGCATTGTGTAATTGTTCACTAAGTGGCTACACTGTGAAATGGCCCTACCCACACTGTGAAATGGCCCTACCTTGACAAGGCCAAAAACCAGTATTTGCTGGCTGTGATCTTTGGGACCTCAGACAGCACTCATTAAAAATAGACATGATTCTGTAGAGGAAATCACTGCATGGGCTCAGAAAAACTTCTGAAAACCACTGTCTATGAAAACAGTTCGTTGCTGCATCTACTCTAAAATGCAACATATATAAACAGGATCCAGGAATGCTGCCACCTTCTCTGGGCCCGAGCACATTTAAAATGGACTGACAGGAAGTGGAAAAGTGTCCTGTGGTCCGACAAATCAACATTAGAAATTCTTTTTGAAAATCATGGGCCTGTGTCCTCCGGGCTAAAGACCACTCAGCTTGTTATCACCATTAGTGCTGAACAATATATACATGTTTTGGCAACATATGTTGCCATCCAGACGACGTCTTTTTCAGGGAAGGCCTTGATTATTTCAGCAAGACGATGCCAAACATGCTGCATGTATTACAACAGCATGGCTCTATAGTAAAAGAGTCCGGGTGCTAAACTGGCCTGCCTGCAGTCCAGACCTGTCACCCACTGAGAACATTTGGCACATTTTAAATGAAAAGTACGACAAACAAGCCCTGAACTGTTGAGCAGCTGAAATCCTATATCAAACAAGAACTGGAAAACATTTCACTTTCAGAACTACAGCAGTCTGTCTCCTCAGTTCCCAAACGCTTACAGAGTGCTGTTAAACGAGGAGGTGATGAAACACAGTGGTAAACATGCCCCTGTCCCACCTTGTTGGCATCAAATTTAGTATGGGCATATTTGAAACAAGCAATAAATCTTCTTTTTCAACAGTTGATATGCTGTCTTTGTCTTTTGGAAATGGGGTTGTACTTCGTTATTGTGCTTAAGTTTATTTTGGAAGATTTGTAATTTATAGAAGTATTAATGAAATTGAATACTTGTACTTTTACTCAATTACATTTCTAAAGAATACTTTATACTCCTTATATTTTCATTTAGTTCTTCAGAGTACAAAATTTAAATCTCAAAGGCCAGGAGATTTTCTCTTTTTCTTTTATTAATCGCACATCACCAAACAGAGGAAAACCTTTCATTTATTTGTGTTAAATGATAATACATTTTTACCTTCACGCAGGTCTCCATATTCATTGTGATACAGTACCCATATATTCACTTAAGTAGTTTCTCTGTTCTCTGTTCCGCTGGTACATGAGACACACTTACATATTACACCTTTATTTAAAAGTTACTTGGAACTGTGTGCTGACTTACTTGCAAACATGTAAACATCCTATAACAAGAGTTATAGTAGGTTTAGTTACACTTATGTTAAAAGTGAAATTTGGTAGACTTTGAATTTTGCACTTTTACTATCTTTTCGTTCATGTGCTACTTTTGTGCATGTGTACGTTTTTTTTTCCATCTACTTGAGCCATCTTTAAACAAAATATTGTGTTTTTTGTTTATTCTTGCAGATCATTGATCAGGAGATCAATCCTTATGTGGACAAATGGGAGGAGGAGGGCCAGTTCCCAGCTCACAAGATCTTCAAGATCCTAGGAAGTGCTGGATTTTTGGGAGTCAACAAACCTGTGGGTGAGCAGACCATAAATTGTTGACTTAAAATGACCTGGAATTACAAACTGTTGTTTAAGTAATTTAACCTTTCTACAAGAGAATTGAGAATACACTTAAAACACAAGCAGACAGCATTTGATAATGGTACTATTAATTAAAGATGAGCTCTTTTAAATAGCCACCTTTACAAAAGAAGAGAGAGCAGTGTATTTCTGAGCAAAAAATAATAAATCTCTAGTGAGCATTAAGTTTGCTCTCGTAGGGTCTTAAATAGTACTAAGATAACTCTCATGTAGCATATGTATCCTCAGCAGCAGCCAGACATTAATTTATCTAATATATAGGTATATGATGAAATCTATGCCAAGTCTGGTTCTCCATTAAGAGACAGAGACTTATGTAAGGGAAAAAAATCTCTCTGCTATGTACAAAAATATTTATATTACACAAGGGATAATCTGTGAAGAATATATACATTTTAAAGTTCAATAAATTATTAAAACATAATAAGAAAATGGGACTCTGAACAATCGTGCAATACCTGGTAGACCACCAAAACTGACAACATCAGATAAACAACACTTAAAGCTTTCATCTGGGAGAGAGAGGAGAAAATCGAGCTCCACTTTTGCTTCAGATATGGAAAAATCTACAGGTGTTTCTGTTTATCCTTCCACTGTGAGAAGACAAATCAACACTATGAGTCTGAAAGGATGTGTAGCTGTCAAGATGTTACTTAGAAAAGTAAATAGGAAAAAAAGAAGAAAATTTGCAAATCAGACAACAAAGTTGCTATTATTCCCATGACAATGGACTGACCACTGCAGAGTCCAGACCTCAACATCATTAAATGCATTTGAGATTGTTGGGATTGTGGGAAACAGAAAATGCAACCAACTTCTAAGACTGAACTTTGGACTTGTGTAAAAATTTTCCCTGCAGATTTCTTTGAAAAACTGAAAGCGAGGAATGGAAGTTCCTTGAATGGAAAATGTTTTCTGCTTTTTTTATAATATTGAAAAAAAAAATTATAACTTGTAGATGAATAAATAAAGGGTGGCCTTTTTCACAGTATAAACATTTGTGTATAAATAACAAATGTTTAATGTGTGAACATTTGTATAACATTTTTGACTGATCTGTGACTGAAGTTTTATAGATTGTAAAGTGCTGGAATGACAGTCTGCACTTTGCAAGAATTATGTAACTGTTTTTGGGTGCCCTCCACACAGCATTCTTCTAACAGCTTTAAGAATTCTCGTATTTTACATCATATTTCAGTTATGTGGATTTGCAGGACTGAAGAGAGATGAGCTTTTGTTGGTGAGAACAGTGCTGAGAGCTTGTTGGGCCAATGGGGAAATCACCTCATAAATCTGTAGGTCAGGAGAGAGAGGCTCTCGCATTAAGAAGTGCTGACACTGGGAGCCTTTTGCATTAGCAGGCAGGATTAAACGAGAGCTTGGGAAGCATGTCCTGGATACAAGATTACCTTCTAGGATATTGTCTCACTTCATCGGTTTTTTCTCAGAGATTCCACATTTAGATTTTGTACTTCGGCATTGACTTTATCACAATAATTGTAAAATGATTGTGATAGTCATACTTTTTAGGAAGTATGACAAAGTGGAAAGAAATGAAACGATCTTAAAGGATAAGTTTTCAGTAGCCGAAAAAGTGATATGAGTCATGTTTCCTCTGAAATACAATGGGGCACAAGTAGGAGATTTCGTTGAGTCTTGATTACTGTGCTCAGTCAAGATATTTAAAGCTCCTCATTAACAGTTCTTGCTTTTTTACATAAATACTACCTAAATTACCTAAAAGGTCATAAGATTCATTTTTTAAAAACACTGGAATACAAACTCAGGCTTTATTTCTTCCACCACAGAAGTAAAAAGGAATTCCTCTTTTTCTCTCAGCATAGGAATGTTATTGGAATCTTCCAGAAACTGGATGGTAGTTGCAAAGGTTCTTGAAAGTGAAGAACGGATAAATGCCCGTATAAAAATCTCTCTCAACTGAGAAAGAAGTCCCCAGAAATCCCTAATCACAAAAAGGAAAGACTGACTACCAAACCGCAGATAAGCTCGGACATTGTGTCAGTGACCTCTCCTCCCTGCCGCTTAAAGAATTGTTATTCCAACCTGTGAAGCATTTAGTGCAAACTGACACTTGCTTAACTTGGCAGCGTAGCCTGTTTTTGTCTCATTAGGATGAGTCTGTTAGGTTACTTGAACATATATGAAAAAGTAGAGCTTGTTGAATGTCTAGTGTCTCTGTTTTTTATTCTGGGACATTTCAGGGCTAATCAAATGGAATCTGATAAAAATACTGTTTGTGAATTACTGATCATTCTTGTTTGAACAACTTTATGTAGCAGCTAATCTTTCTAGCACTGCAAGAATCATAAAATGTTACAGAGAGAGTTACTTTTAACTCTCTCTGTGATAGAATAACCTTGATGCTACAATTCTTTGGGGAAACAGGGACCTAGTTAAGAAATACACTTAGGTTTAATTACATACTTGGCTTTCATTCACATACACATATTCTCCCAAATGCAGATATGATTCATTAAAGCAGTTTATGGTCAATCATGTTTCCATAATGAGGGGCACAACCCGGCCGTCTCTCTGGCACTGAGCATAAGATTGCTGTAAATCTTTCTCATTGCAAAATATAACACTGACAGAGCCAAACCACATTCTTTGTTTTTTTTTTTTCCAACATGGGAACACATGGGAAGGATCAGATAAGTTGGAACCACTCTCAGTGGTTGTTTGTCTCTCTTTGGGAGTTATCTGCTTGGCTGTTTCAGTTGAACTTGCTGAAGCCAGTGCTCTTTCCTCTTCGGTCTGGTTGCTGTTTGAGGCTCTATCACTGCAATAGCCTTATCTCTCCACAGCTGTGTCTGTTTCCTCTGCTTTCACTTTCCTCTCCCCAAGTCTGCCTCTTCTCTCCTGAGTGGCTGGAGAAAATGACCTGTGCTCGTGAAGGAAATGTATGTCGAGTTCCCTTTTGCCACTTTTTGACATGTTTTCGGATCCTGACTGTCACTGGTGTCCATAAATAATTGTGATGCTGAAAACTTTGCAAGGTCCATAGCATTAATCTCCCAACAAGAAACATCCACATTATTTCCCTAATGACAAACATGTAAAGCAAAGCCTCAACAAAGTCTGCAAAAAGAACTCTTATAAAAAGTGCTAATAATGAGTTTAGCAGTGAAAGACCACGTAGGTTAACCTATATGATGTTATGCAACATGTTCCAGGACTTGTATAGAGACTAAGAGTCTTAAATGAGGCTGCGAGTTTTCTGTTAAGTGTTAAATGACAGAGGAAAAGGCGTAAGTTTTTCCTTTTTTTAAATCACACTGAAGGTCATGATTTCAGCCTTTATTATTCAAACTGTCATTTTCTGAGTTCTGACATTTCACCACTGTGTTTTAATCATGGCAGTTGAAACTAATTTCATAAATGCAATAAAGCTTTCACAATCCAGGCTAGATGACCCTTTTCTTCTGATGTTGCATAAGCAGAAATCTTGCTCTGCCTAATAAGTAGCATCGCCAAAGTTTTGTTTCAATTAAGTGACCTTCATTAGTTCCACAACAGGGAAATTTCATCTCCACATTTAACCCATCCGTGCAGTGAAATACCACATACACACTAGTGAACAGAGCGGTGGGCAGCGCTATCCGCAGTGCCTGGGGAGCAGTTGGGGGTTAGGTGCCTTGCTCAAGGGCACTTCAGTCACATACTGTCGGCTCAGGGGCTTCCGGTCACAGGGCTGTTTCCCTACCCTCCAGCCCATGACTGCCCCAGACATAATTAGCAACTAATGTCTGAAACAATTAAAGTGACATTCTGGCGAAAATGAGAAATGTATTGCTACACCTGTTGTAAACATGCTTACTTGAATCCTACAGAGAATGAGCAGTAGTCTCTAGGGTGGGATTTTATGGTTTAAACCCCCTTCTGATGAATAATCTTGAAGGTGGGAGGTACTGCAAAAAATACAAGGGCTTTGTGGTGGGCAGTTTTGAATTTTGTTATGAGAAGGAAGGCATATAGTTAACATTATTGCTAGGAGGTGTAATTTTACAATCGTATATCTGTGGTAACTGTTCAGATCATCATAACAGTTGAGAGAATGGATTATTCAAACAACAGAAACATCATATGATGTTTAATTTAAAAGTTTGAGGTAAACCTTTGTATTTATTGGCTTATAGATCAGTGGCTATGCTAGCAGTCAGGATTGGTTGACACCACAGGGATTCACAATGGCTGTATGATTTATTTGCGTAGTGCATGCTGGAACCAAACATCGTGCCTGTAGTGATGCAATAAATAACATTAAAACTCTTATTCTTAATTGAATTGTCTGAATAGATGTGAACAGTGTTCCAAATCATTAAATTAAAATGATTTTCAGAGTGTTTCCTAGAGTCGTCGTCCCCGCCAGCACTGAGATATTAAAGATATTGTACTCATTACGCTATAGTGAAATGTGAGGAGACTCGGTTGAAGTAAACACTTATTTGAGCTGCATTGTTTGATGTTGGCAGAATATGGAGGTCTGGGACTGGACTTCAGCTACAGTGTGGCTGTGGCAGAAGAGCTGGGGAACATCAACTGTGGAGGTATTCCAATGGCCATCGGGGTTCAGAGTGATATGGCTACCCCCGCGCTAGCCAGGTAACTTCTTTATGTATTCGCTTTTGGATTTTGGACACAGCTCTCTGAACTCAACGAGTGCATTCCATACCTTTCTGTCTTGTTTTGATGAAGTGCGTTCATGCAGTGTGTCTGTAGATTAATATTCTTTAATAAACCTTCAGTCCACCATGCAAAGGCTCTCAAGGATGTAATTATGACACAGGGAAAGAAAAAAAACAATTTCTGAATAATGCATAACATGTCATTACTGCTATGAGGGATGTAACTGAACTCTGTGCCGCCAGGTTTGGATCTGCAGAGCTAAAAAAAGAGTTCTTGCTGCCCTCCATAATGGGAGACAGAGTGGCATGTCTGGGAGTGAGTGAAATAGGCGCTGGCTCTGATGTGGCGAGTAAGTCCTCACTTTGCCTATGGCAACATCTAAACAAGGGATAAACATGGACAAGAGAGGATGTAAACGTAATTATTTCCTAAAATGAGCACTTCAAAGCATTTTAGTCATGCTGAGATTAAAGAACTCAATTTCATGGGTATATTGTGCAGAGCTAATAGATTCATATTTTATCATATTTATTTATTTATTTCTGTTTATGTTTTATCTTATACAAGACAAAATTAGATGCAGGTCCTTCTGTGAAGGCTAATTATTTCTGCCTTCAGTCCCTTGTGGTTCACATAAGGGCATTATTTCTGTGAGCGTTTTGATAAGATAGTTGGAAAAGTCTTCTGCTTCGAGCGACCTGACCTTGCTCCCTGGCAAAATGAGAGAGTTTTATTTCAAGTATTCATTCATTCTGGAAATTAGGGCTAAGTTCCCCAAGTGGGAACTGAGCATTGATTTAAAGTAAGGCTGAATATGAAATGTTTTGTGATCCAGGCATAAAGACTAAGGCTGTGCGAAAAGGAGATGAGTTTATCATTAACGGGGGAAAGATGTGGACTACTAATGGAGCACAAGCAGACTGGATGTGTCTCCTGGCCAACACCAGTGATGGGCCTCCACACAAGAACAAGTCCCTCATCTGTTTACCCATGGATCTACCTGGTAGGAACATGGGAAAAGCCAGGAAGCTTTCGTGCCCTCTTAACATGGACATCAGCAGAACTTTCTGCGTGTGCAGTTCTTTTATTGCCATGACGTCAATATCTATTGTAGATGCTAATGTTCATCATATTTACAGGAATTCAAATTGCTCGTAAGATTGATAAGCTGGGCATGAGGTCGTCAGACACAGTAGAGGTGTTCTTCGATGATGTCCGGGTCCCCTGTAAAAACGTCATTGGGCAAGAGGGAATGGGCTTCACGTACCAAATGCTCCAATTCCAGGAAGAGCGGCTTTGGGGAGTGGCAAATAGTAAGTTATAATGACATTTCCTATGACCCCCGCCACTCTGAGGTTATGTGGAGTATGATTCAGTGCCAGTGTAATACTGACATCACGTTCATGATGGCCATGTAGGTCACTGAACTTTAGTGTACATTGCTTCACTTTGTGAAATGACAGTGAAATTTCAGAATGTTTCACTGAGTTTTCAGATATTGTTTAAACAAAACAGCTGGCTGCATGTGCGGGAACAGCCATCATCTGAAGTGGAAAATCTGTTCATTTCCTTTTGATTACTTTGGAAATATTCCCATTTGACCACTGCATATCTCCGTCTTAAATGTCACTGGAATAATCAAATAAGTTTTGTAATAACTTGCAGTCAGAGACCATTCTGTCTTTTTGCCATTCATCGTATGAATGCAAACTGTTTTTCAACTGTTTTGCTTGTTTCTAATTTAAAGTTCTGACGACAATGGAAAATGTGGTGCAGGAGACGATTAACTACACTCGGCAGAGGAAAATCTTCCACCAGCCGGTGCTGTATCACCAGGTTGTGCATTTCAGGCTGGCAGAGCTGCAGACTGAGATTGAGCTACTGCGCTCCCTCCTATACCGCTGCACAGGTGGGCCCACTCATCATCATTTCAACCTATTTTCATCTGCTCGTTCTGTTTTCTTTGCTTTCTTCCAGAATCACTCTATTGGCTTGCATGTACAATGAATTTGTCTTGGTTAAACTAAAACCAAATAATATCCAAATATAAATGCATACAGCACAAGCGCTTAATTTTCTGAATCTGGAGCATGTAAATGCAAGTCTAATGATGATTGCACTGCAGGGTTAACTAAAACTCAACAGCTACTATTGAGCTGGGATCATGTGCAGATGTACTTGTTGGGCAGCAAACTGCAAATTCTATGTAAATTCATATTTCTTAACGTGCACATTTCACTACCTGCACGTTAAATAAAAACCTGCAGCCGTGGATAGGTATGTCACCATTAACTAAAATGAAGACTCTGATTTGATGTCCACTATTATTTATCTGTTGTTTTAGCTCTCTACATTAAAGGCAACGATGTGACAAAGTTGGCATCCATGGCAAAGCTGAAGGCAGGCCGTCTAGCCAGAGAGTTAGGGGACAGTTGCCTGCAGTACTGGGGAGGAATGGGCTTCACCAGTGACGTGCTGGTCAGCAGATTCTATAGGTCAGTCTCTTGCTGGGTTTTTGAATTTAATCCCACACAGTGCGAGTCTCTGCCTTCAGTCTGTTATTGACGTGCATTAAGCAGCAGTGACACCTAGTGATATGGCATATTAAAGCAGAAATGGACTGTCTTGGTTTTTAGTGCCAAATAATAAATGGTACATTTTTATAGTTTATATAACAATTCATCACCATTGACCTTCTGAACGTAGAGTTTAGGTACACATTCATGGTAATGCATAGTTATTCATCAGATCTTCCTGTTTTGTCTTATGTCACCAGGGACTCCAGACTGATGTCAATCGGGGCAGGCGCCGATGAGGTCATGCTCTCAATCATCTGCAAGTACATGGACACCCTACCCAAAAAATGACACCAATGGTACATCTGTGTTGATGATAACGAAGTGCACTTAAAATAGCTTAGAAAACTAAATTAATATAGTTTAAAAAACTTGTGAAGACTATTCAATTTAAAATTGAAAGAACATGAATTTATAACCTGTTGCCTTGATAAGCTTGTCTGACAAGCTTGTACATATGTTAATTGTGATTACTGTAGTCTGTCATGTAAACCTTGTACTTATTGTATTAAGCCATTTATGCCATGTATAAACTGAAGCTGGTCAATGAGCCTTTATTTTAAAGAAAAAAAAAATCAACTTCTGTGATCATGTTTTTCCCTTCTAGAAAAGGGAAATGTTCTTCTGACCTCAGAACAGTACTCACACAAACCATTAAAAGCTTTTTAATTTCTAGCAGAGTGCCATGGAAATTCATTTTTGTACCTAAAACCATAGAGCACATTCATAAACACTCCATACTCCCTGTAGTAGCACTCTCTACTGATATTTTGTCGCTGTCAGAACAAAACCTTGTTTTTTGCAAAATGGTAACTTTACAGGAAAGGCAAGTTTTTAGGAAAGAAGTTATTGTAACAATACTTTTCCAAGTAATTTTGGACCATTTCTGTAACTCCATTTATCAAGAAATTTGAATGCAATGCAAAAGATATCTGGAGTTTTCAAACTGCAAAAAAAAAGGGAGGGAGATACAAGGTTTTTGCTCGACAGCAACAATTTATTTTATATAATACTGACTAAATCTTCTGTACACCTTCATGTTTTTCTGAAAACCTTAGACAAAGTATATAAAACATTCATGCTCTTCAGTTAACATTTAATGCCTGTTTCCTTACTTACATTTCACAAGTAAGAAATACAACAAAAAATATGTATTATTACAGAGATAACTGTAAGATGCTCTATATATCACTGCTGTTGGAACAAAACCTCACATCTCCAAAATGGCAACAGCAGATGGGGAAAAAACACAACTTTATATGTATGTTAATGTAAAAAGTCTTAAATTTGGGCCATTTCCTTCAGTCCATTCATCATAAAATATTCTCACAATGCAAAAAGAGGCTAGAATGTTCAAATAGCATTAAAAACAATTATGGAGATTTTATTCCGACAGCAATGATAGCCAAGAAGTGAATCCATTTAACAGAAAAGCTAAACAAATCCAACTGAAAGCTTAACAAGATGATATCAAGTTTGTTTCCTCATCATTAGCCTCAAAAACAGAATTTCAATAATATGCACTGACAATATGCCTTGAAAAGAGAAATAGAAAAGTCTCAGCCTGGACTTCCCATAACTGCTTAAAATCCTTTTGTGCATCCAGTATTAAAACATTTCAAAGAGGTTTCTTGTAGCTGTTGTCTCAACCTTCCTTAATGATTCTGAAAGTATAAGATGACCTTAAGGCCGGCTCATTAATGTGTTTACACCATGCAAAGCCAAATTACTCTTAGCAGTTGACAGTACCCACAATTACCTTGACAAAACAGACAAAGCTTTTGCCAGTTTGTTTTTCTACTCTGTGCTCTATTCGACCTGCATTAGTGTAGCCTAAATCTGCTCACTTGTACAAACATCTTTGTTGTATTCAGTTCATAATAATGACACATTTAGATGATGCACACATTAAATTGTGGCACAGATGTCAGATATAGGACCATCAATCCCAGAACAGGCTGCATATAAGCAATGACGTACACTGATTATTGCATCAAAATCATTGTATCTCAGAAGCAATACTGAAACCAAAAGCAATGAAATCCTTTAACTCTAAAATTACTTACTTGTGGCAGTGAGGAATTCTGGCATGTTAAGAGTTCTTTCCTTCCAGCACTGCACAATAACTGACAAAGATTTCTCAAGATTTTAATGGTACTCAATCATCTCAATCCTTATCTTTATTGTTGAAATCACTACCCTGATCGTAACTGTCTGATCATCCGATCTAGTGGGCCATGGCACACAGGGGAGAGTGGGTCTAAAGAAGGGTCAGATTCATTAGGTATCACCTCAGTCTGATCACCCAGTAAAGGACTACAAAGACGAAGAGAGCAAAAAGCAGCATGTAGCAGTAGATTTTGGTCTGACTTCCTCTGGACAGCAGTTTCAATCTGCCCATGGTGGCTCCCAGCAGACCGCCAGTTGAATCGAAATCTGTGTCCTACAAAATATCAGATAAAAGCACAATGAATTAAAATTGTGACGCAGAGAATACGTTTAGACAAGTGGTTGTGTTGAAAGGGGACTTTCTAAATAGTTACACTTAATTAATTAGACTTAATAATTAGACTGGTTTGATATGAAAAGCGCCTTTCTAGAGAAAGTGAGTCAGAATTGTTCACAGTGATGGTGATAAGAAACAGACGTCTGAAGCGTTTAATGCCTCACAGAATAGTGTTCCCCAAAACATTTAAATACACAGCCTGATGCCTAAAACATTGTCTTACTGTAGTCTTAGGAAAGCTATTGACCTACAATGTATTTTTAAAATACAGATACCCAAAGAAAACTTCAGAGTCATCATTATTTTACCATTATTAAAATTACATATATAAACTCAGAAGACACAAGCAGGTTCATTGGTTCTTCTGGACAGTAATTAAAATAACTATGTTTGCACTGTAAACATTGCAACCCCTGGTTCTTATAACCAACATTGTAAAGAAAAGTTGGTCAGTTTTTCTGCAATGACAATTTCACACCTCAGTGACTGATTCCAAAAAATCTGAAAAAGTTTGCTGTATCTGTTGCACTCTGAAAATATCTCACAAAGCACTTATATTTAATAATAAGACTTAAGTCCTATTCCAGCCAGAGCAGTATTATCTACGTCCTGTAATTTGAGTGATTGCCGAAGAGGTCCATGATTTTAATCCAGTATGAATCTCCCATGTATTTAGTTTTTAGTCTGCCAAGTAATAATTCCAAAGTAAATTACCTTCTACAATTCACCAAACTCAGCTCCTCAGTAATAGTAGTCCTGCTCGAAGCGACATCTCAGTAATTTAATAACAAAACTAGATAGTAGAAATGGATGAGGCTGAAGTTGGTTCCCTATTCAGCAGCTTCTTGTTCAAATTTTCCTTAAATCTTAAATGGTGAAGCAGTTACTGCGCTAGAAGGCTGAAGGCAAGCATGTGCTTCCTTCAAATTATGCGAAGCCATATCTTTTCTAACTGCCGCGAATGCAACGTCACTGGACTGCTGAACGTGCTTGGAGGAGAACGCTAATCACCATTTCTGTTATGTCAGCTAACAGACGCCTGCACCGGCTAGCACCGTGCTGGGTGATGGGGGAGAGATGCCACAGATAGCTGTAGCAAAACTGGGAACTGAACTCCCAATCTCCTGAGGACAGGGCCAGTGCTTAGACAGTTGTGCCATTTGGGTGCCCCATTTTATTTCTGACATCTGATAACATGTAGCAGACAAAGTAGAGCCACATTTGAATAAAATACTAGGGATACATCAACATAATTTTTTTTCAGACTGAGTACATATTTTTAATACTCGGCTATACAGAGTCTGATACTATACTGAGTAACCTTCTTAGAATTAAGTAGATGTTGGTCTAAATAAGTGCAATTAACCTTAAAAAATTAAATCATTAAATTCTAGCTATTTTAAATGTAATGCATTAGCTAGCTATGCTGCATTAGTCCTGCTTTGGGTTGAGTACAGTAGTGGAGAAGAGCAGGAAGAAAAGTGCTTCTGTACAGATGTAAGCAGATGTAAGTAAAGCACAAGTCAGTTTTGCTCCTCTCTTTCAACAACTGTCTCTTTAGCACAGCGACAGCAGGAGTCACATCCGAGGCTAACATATCCGACGAGCTCATGTTTCAAGTTTTACGTCTTGTTAGAGTCTTTTGTTTGGCTGGGTGAGCTGTAGTTGAACGTCTTCTAAAGCCAGACATACACTGTGTGATTTTAGAACTCTTGTTTGTTGGTGACTCGCATTTGTTTGAATAGACCATCATGTACAGACAAAGCCTATAGTTTATACATGAAACACAGCCTCTACAGACAGCTCTGTCTATGGACAGTTTCACTTAAAGCTGTTTCATTCAAAACAACATGCTGCTAACACTGCACTGAAGCTAAAGCCAGGCGGTGGTACACAATAGGACAATACGGTCTCTCTACAGCCTATTTTTCAAGAAAAATCACTGTATTAACATTTATAGTTCACTATTGTATTCAGGTAAACAGAGTAAAGTCAGCATAGAGGCACTTTGGTAGAAAATTTCGACTTTTTTTTCTCCTCCGTTTAGTTGACCTGCATGTCTCCAATGCTTATTGGGGAAGGGGTTGTGATTGTGTTTGTGTGTGTATAGAAAAACAGAATCACACGGTGTTGGCGAGAATGTGCCAAGGTGGAAGTGACCGATGGCTTTGTGTCCAACTGTCACGGAGTCAGTAACTCTTCTCTGTGTGAGCAGAGCCTCCTTCACTGTTTGTTCATTAACATGGCAGTGTACACTCAGCTTATATCACAGTAGGTATCAGAATGTGCTTTGAGTACATGAGCAGTACAGGCCCGATACCCGATACCAGCATCAGTATCGATGCACCCCTAAAAAAAAAAATACCATAAAAACTATGAACCCAATGATTCATTCAACTTTTCACATATTGTGCTGCACTAAATCCAATTAAACAGGACTAACTATGCTATCTTTGTAATCAAACATGCAGCTGGGAAGTGTTTTTAAGTATTAACGATATCCATGACATATTCAGACAAGCATACTGTGACACATCGTTAAGTAATTTATCATAATAACGATACTGTCATATTGCCCAGCCCTACCTACAGTAAGCCAAAACACCATTATCCCTTCAGCATAAACTGAGCTCCAAAACAACTGTTACTCAGAATAAATGGTACCAGTAACATCTGCTTAACATAACATCTGTTAATGTGACACATACACAAACTTACCATCTCTCCCAACATTTTATTTTGGTATTTGACTTCATTCCCAATGTCAATCGATAGCTGAAAGGATACAAGGAGGAACAAATGAAGTTTACCTACTGAGCAGCTTTTAAAACACTACAATTTGCATCTTCGGTGATATGCTAAATGCTATACATTTGGTTACAACTTACATGCTTTAGTGCGTTTACTTTCGCTCTAAGGCCTTCCTGTAGATGTTCGTTCTCCTCCTCATAAACACTGTACCCACTTGCAACATAATTTCCTTGAGGGGCTCCCTCACCTGAGAAACATTAAAATGCAACAGAAGTGGGCTGCAAAAAGTTTTATTCGCTCTGTTACATGATGAAAAGCATCACAACAAAAGAGGAACAGCACCTATCAAACTTCCTATGCAGATGCTTGATGTACTAACCTACCAAGCTAAAAGTAACGTAACGCAGAACTGCTTAGTTTTTAATAGGTACTTTTACTTCTGTTTGAGTCACTTTATTGAAATTACTTGAGTATCATTTTAAGCTACTCTATGTAGCCACCAGGAAAAGGCAAGTGCCTGTAAAGGGGGTAAGATGAATGAGAATTGACCTGCTCGACACAGCTGTGATGATGACACTTAGCTAGCTAGGTTAACTATTTAGCTGCAAAGCAGCAAGCCAAGAAAGGTAAACTAGCAGGAGTACTACAAGCCGAAATCGTCCTACATTAAATAATAAACCAGATTACATAACAAGATTACAGGGTAGCAAATGAAAACCCAGAAACTGTGGCTAAGGTTAATAATCTTTGCTCGTAACACGTAATGTTATTTATTAGTTAGCATGCTAGCTAGATATATAGTTCCACGTATGAAGTTCCTGTCAGCCAGCTAGCCTGTTAGCTAAGTAGGATAGCTAAAATCAATGCGTTCGCTATGTGGACAGGAAGCAACATACGCAAGAAACAAATATTGTTAGGTAACATTAAACAATTTGCAACTTATCCGTCTGTCTGTCTGTGGTTAACACTGCTTATGCTTTTACCTTCCCTTAATGTTACACAGATGATCCTTACCGGCTGGCAAACGCAGGTAGCCACAGCCTGCTAACACAGCTACTATGAGCCATTTAATAACTTACATTAATGGAAGTTACTTACCCAACCCTGCACGCCTCATCTTACTGCTTTAAACAATGTCCCAAATACGTTTTTCCTAAATAGTCACACCACTGCCCAAAATTAATGAAAAATCTCGTTCTTTCCTACAAGAACGTGAATAACTGTTCAGCCTACGTTCTCACGCCACGACATCCTACGGAAGCCCGGATAGTCATCATTACAAGAAGGCATGGGAAATGTAGTTTTTATGGTTTTCAGCGTTAACTCAGTTAATGAACGAATGTGTTACTAATGGTAGTGTACTATTTTGACATACCACACCGGATTAGGACGCAACCTACTGAAAAGCAAGGCGCTTGAAAAGGGTAGCAAATTTACACACGGCAGCAAATTATATTTATTATTATTATTATATTTATTATATTATTATTATTATTATTATTATTATTTTTATTATTATTAACAAGTAGTCATTAGGAGCAATAGTGGTGGTTATATGAAGCACAAATATCTCTCATTAAGAACAGCAATCAGCGTATTATAGAATTAGTGCAGAAAAATGTGCAGCAAAAAGCATTTTGTAGCATGAAAGCATCACCATTTAAAAGAATGAGACTTATAAGCTGTAACTACTACCTGTGACATCCAATGTTATAGTTATAATGTTTCAGTACAATAATGCTTGTGTGCCCCGCACAAACTGAGCCCTTATATCCTCAGATCACTGGTATCAGCTTGTGCAAGCAATGACTTCACAAGTTTGCATCACCAAGGAGCTATAAATAATTTGAAATAAGAGATTATAAATAAAGATTCCCATGCAGCCATGAAACAAATTAATCATTTGTTGAACAGTCTGGGCTCAGCAATGGATTGTGAGAGTATCTTTAAAGGATCTTGTGAAATTTTGCAAGCAAGTGATTCAACATGATGATCACTGTAATAGAAGAAGGTGCAGATTTATAGGATAGTAAGAACAGACACTGAAGTGGTTAGGCTAATGCTATCTGAATTCTGAAAGGTCCAATAATATGATTTAAATTCTGACAGTATCCAATTCCTATGGTTGTTATAATATGGCGAGGAAGCTTATCTTTGAATATAACATTGCAAGGAACGTGACAGCACAGGGAAAGTGACATGCAATTAAAATTAAAAATTTCCTTCATCCTATGCATTCACACTGCAAGGTACTTCAGTTTTGGTGATGTATTATTAACCAAGAAACAACTGACAAAGAAATTAAGGGATTGAGGAATACATGGAATATCAAGTAATATAATATTCCAGAAATCACATCCTATCCGGTCAGTTTGACCCCCTTTATTATGCATCCTACGGTTAAATGTTTAAAAACAATTAAATCTAACATTTCATTACATTTTGTTACAAATCTTGCCTCGCAAAAGGTTGTTTCCAACACTTTTCAAAGTTGAAAAGGATTGTGGGTAAATGAAAGTCTCAAATGACACAGCATTTGAGTCTTAAGATTTCTAAGAAATGAATCAAAGTTGCTAATGGTACACACAAAAAAAAGTAGTACAACTGTGGATCAACTCGCAACTTTCACTTACAAAGTTCTGGATATCCATCTTAAAAAAACATCTAATTTTTACATTTACATTTTTAGTTTACATGGAATATCTCACAGCCAGGCTCAACAAAACAAAGCAGTCAACTGTTGGTAAATCAAGAATTTATATGATTCCATTCAGGAACTTTAGAGACCTCTTAAAGAGAACACTGATTTGAGTCACACAAATTTGTTTCAGATCCTCAAGCAAATTGTAATACAAGACAATGAGAACATGAGGAAACCCAAAACACAGGTTTTTAAAAGATCCTTTCATTTATTGAAGGAAAAAAAGTTTTGCAACACCTAAATATCATACATCTATTGGCCAACTCTTTGTTACAGAACTGCTTTAATTCAATTAAGTCAGGACTGTGACTAGGCCACTCAGAGCCATTCTGAGGGGGACTTGCTTTTGTGCTCTCGGTTGTTGTCTTGCTGTGTAACCCAACTGAGGTTGAGCTTCAGACCATCTCTCAGGTAGAATTGTCTGGTAGAGAGCAGAATTCATGGTTCTGTCAATTGTGAGAAGTCACCCAGGTCCTGAAGCAACAAAGCATCTCCACACCATCATACTACCACCATCATGTTTGATTGTTGGTATGATATTCTTATTGTAGAATGCTGTGTTAGCTTTACACCAGAAGTAACAGGACTCCTGCTCGTCTTGGTTCTTTGTGATGAGTCATCGCTGTTCTCTTGGAGGAATTTTAATAGGCTGGACACTTCTGGGAAGATTCACCACTGTCCCAAGTTTTCTCTATTTGGAAATAATGGCTCTGACTGGGGGTTGCTGAATTCCCATAGTGTGATGAGACCTTTTAGCTTACTTCACATTGCTGGGAAGGTTCTATTTAAGTGATGTTTAGATTCAACAGGGCTGGCAGTATCTGAGCCTGGGTCTGCCTAGTTTAATTGATCCTGATTATCAGTGAAATCTGTTGATTGATTAACCAAGGGGCATTAAATTTTCATGCAATTACTTGTTATTACTTTTCCTAGATAACTTTTTTTTTCAATAAATGAAATAATTTAAAAACTGTATTTTGCCTTTACTCTGTTTTTGTCTTATGTTCAATTTTTTTGCAGTTTTGAAACAGTTAATTCAGACAAATATGCAAAAATAGAAGAAATCAGGAGGAGGTGAATACTTTTTCAGAGCACTATATGCCTTTGGTCTGTGTGTCAACTGAACATTGTTTGTTACTGCCCTGCCTACCCTCTTCTGCTTGTTTTGAAAGGCAATTTGGCTGTAGACACGACTATTGGCTGCAAATATGAGCGGTATTCCTAACCATGGAAAACAGTGGTGGCAGCTGTATGCCAGGGCCCTGAAGTAGTCGCTGCTACATACAAGGTATGTGTTCATTTGCCTCTTACAGGCTTCAAATAAAACATGTATTTTACAAGCTTGAGTGTGTGTTTAATCTAAACCGGCCCAAATCATTCATGTGCATCACCGTTATTGTAGCGCTTACGTACTAGTAGAACTCCCATAGAGGCTCTAGCAGAAATTAGCATTATCATAGAGTTAGGTTTGTTCTAGTTTTTGACTGAATGTTGACATTTCTGATCCAAACTGAAGGCTTAGTCTAATAGTAACGGTTCACGATTGGATATTACTTCGAGTCCTGCAGTTTAATTCATTTGTACTCTAGAACTGTAGACTCTAGAACCATAATTAATTAGTGAGTCATTCTGGTTAAGAGAATCTGCCAAATGCAACTGTAAAGGTAAATGCAAGTTAATCAAAACTTTGATAAACACAATTCAAACCCATGTAATGTAGCAATGAAGCACTAAAACCTCACACTTCAGTTATCACTGATGTAAAGCCTGAGAGAACCCAACTGCATTCTCACAAACCAGTTTGGCTCCTAGTCTAATCATGAGGAACCAGGCCAGGGCATCTGTACAGAAGAGTGTGAGTCACAGCACAGCAGGTCCTCTGTCATCAACTTTCATCATCATGCTCACAAATCCCTTCTGTTTCAGTGGAAACTGTGGGTAAACAACCACACAGGGATGTGTAACTGTGTTCTGCATTTCTACCTTGTAATCTTGAGACAAAAATGATTGAAAGAAGATTTGCATTTCAATCGTCATATAACATTAGCCAATGATACTGAGTAGTCGATAGGTAATTGTGCAGTGACACAGTTTTTTGTTGTTTTGGCTCTGTGCAATAGTACATTGGATTTGAAATGAAATTTACATGTATATTGAATAAAGCATATGGAAATCTGGCCATGCAGACACACAGAATGCTGAAGGAGCTCATGGTCCCATTTCAGGGGACCATAAGTAATTGAACAATTACAACTATCTTAATTAATGCCTTGAGTTGAAACAGATCATAACCCTTGTAAATATCTCATAAGGTCTTAATACTGATTTTTAATAGTCTTTTTACTGTGTGACAGTCCATATTGCAGTTATCAAAAGGATAAACATAAGAGTGGAGGGGGTTAACAAGCATACAGAAATGGACGGAGGGTACGAGGGTATCCGGGGGATGAAATATGAATGGGAAAGCTCATAAAGCTCAACATGGTACCTGTTTATGAGGATGAGCCAATCAGCTTACTGTTTGAACTGTGGGAAACTTACTGTGGGAAAAGCCCCACATCACTGTGGAGATCTGTGCAAGTGCAGTAGCTAGAACAAGCTGAAAAATTGTGTTTGTGCAACAAACTGTTAATGCTGTTTTTGTCAGATTTTGTAGCCATTTTTGAAATTATTGATAGATTCTGACAAATAGAGGACAAATTTTCCTATAAGTATAAATAATATAATCTAAATAAATACACAAATGATAAGTGGACAGATAGACACTATGAATTAGAAATGCGATGAAGAAAATAAGGATTATATATACACAACAGATAACAAGACACATGTGACTACAATGATACAGGGCAGGCCAAGAATCCTGAGACAGCAGACTATTTATTTAAAGGCTGAAAAAAAACAGTGGCCTGAGCTGGAGACTTCAGTGTTATTCCTGCACCTGATGGTGCTTTATAGGAAGTCATGCTGTGAAAGCTAGTACTGCACTATGTTTGTATGCAGAGTGTTTTTAATAAGCCAGTAGCAGAGAAATTACACTCCACTCCTGTACAATCTAGTTAGCAAGCAACCTCATTAAAGGGTTTCTAAATGGTTTTTGGACCTACAGTTCTAATAAAAACCTTTAAATGATGTAGAACCTTTACATTATGTGGAGGTTCTTGAAATTTTAAAAAGGTTATTCATATTTGTACATCTTATTTACAAAACTAGTTCTTTATAGAACCACTTACTGAAAGTTTCTTTAAGCAATCTTAAATGGCACTGCTCCAAGGAACACTGTTTAGCACCTTTAAGAGTGTATAATTGTCCAGATGGTTTTAATTACACTTAATTGTCCCATACTACAACTAATCATGCCATCATATTAGAAAAATACAGAGTACAGCATTAAATGCTGTGAGTGATATTAATTTCACAGCTGATCTTTTGCAATGAGCTGCAAATAACGTTTCTTGACTGCATTACATGCTGTGAAGCTGAATCAACTGTGAGTCATGATCAAGGGAATGAGTCTTGTTGTTTCGATATATCCCCTGTCTTTCATTGCTTTTATATC